CGAACTAAGCCACGCGTTTCACGACGGTTGCAAAGCAGCTTCAATCACCAAAGTCAGGGGTCTGGCCGGGAGTCGCACAGTAATTGACGGGGCGGGTATCAGCGCCTGAAACATGCGTAGAGCCTAATGCGACGGGGTACACGGCTAAAAAAGGCTGTTGGGAGTCAGATGCTTGCTTCGATGTGCCTACTTAAGTATTTATTACCAATAAGGAGAACAGTGTAGCCAACTTGGGTGTATTATGGGGAGACTGTCAATGTCAATTGAACGAAATGTGTAGCATGAGCGCATCAAAACCAGAGATGGATAACTTGGATATCCTACGGAGTATGTGACTTACCTCGGGTCTATAGGTACTTGGTAGTACTTAACGTAGGTAGGGAGAGGTTAGTACAGGCGCCGTACAACTTCAACGTGTTACACTTTACACCTGAAGTACTTATCTAGATATAATGACCCTACCTAGAGCCTCTAGCCTAGATAGAGCCCCTACTAGCTCCGCTAGCTCTAGGGCACCTCTGATAAGAGTCGCGTGCCCAGGTACATATGTAACAAGTACTATTAACTTAAGTACCTATTACTTAGATAAGGTACCTAGTCCCTAAGTAGGTATTCTACATTTATTCATCAACAATATCAGAGAACCCGATTTCTTCTTAAGTGAGACTCGATGTAGGCTACGTCATGAAGAGGCACCACAAGATTGATACCATACTTACATCTATGGCACTTAGAGGAACCATCTTCCACTATCTGGTTTCTTTCTCCAGACAGGATTGAGAACCCGTCAAGCCCCCAATTGACGCGACACTCAGGCAAAAATGCATTCCGAAAAGCTAGCTTTCACAACACATGCTGTCATTGAGACAGCCGCTGCCCTCTCCTTCATTGTGCACCCTGAAGGACAACTCCCTGGCTGCACACCCGCTACTAGGCTCGTCTTAAGGCAGTACGGCGGGCTGTTGTTAGCTTCAAGCATGATCTGCCTAATCATCGTTGCCGGATCGGGTTGCGATACAACCACGACGCGGCTGATGGCCGCCGCACTGGGGTCATATCATGCGTGGCCTTGCTATCGAGCATTTACACGCATTCGGAATGAACTACGACATAGACATAGATTTAAGGAAACGTGGGTGCTTGGCGGTCCTCCACTGCACTTTCTAGTCCATGTGGTCTGCTTAGGCTTGTTTTTACACACAGCGATTACAGATACGTGGCCTCACCGAGAGAACGTGCCCGAATCCTTCTTTGATTCTATCACATAAAGGTTAAACGAACGGGAAAAACGATTGAAAATAATTAAGAAGAAAAATTTTGGTCGCAAATCATTTGCAGGTGATTCTAGGTAGCTTCGCTACATCTAATCTAACACGCTCTATGGGAGGCGAAGACCTAAAAAAGGAAAGAAAAAAATATGATAGAGAGAGAGAGAGGCGGGCTCTTTGGGGTGACTTTAGTCCTATGACTAGCCTTGCCCATAACAATTATTCCCCAACCACATCACTTCGGTATTCAAGGTGCTGCCACGATTGAGTGACACTCAACGTGGCTTGTGTCTCTCCCAGGCGCTCAGAGACATTCAAAAACGGTGTGAGGTGATCCCAGAGTTTGTTCTCGAACAATAAGACCGTCGCTGATGATCGACCCGGTACCAGAACGTCAACGATACCAATATGTTTTTTATCGCGCGATACCAGACTACCAGAGTCGATTGCACTCAGCTGAGCCGTCCCGCAGACGATGTAACCTTCATAGTGACTATAGTTTGCAAAGCTCCCAGAGTCTTTATTTGAGGCTTCGCGCTCTAGGCCGATAACATACTTCGTTGCCGGGGGCTGACTCCCAGAATTCTTGGCCCATCTCTCAACAGTCGTGAACTGGACAGGTTCGGTCGCGCCTGGCGAGGCCTTGTCCGTTGCCCAATTATTATTAATAGGCACCGAGCATTGTGAGCATTCTGCATCCCGACAAGCTTTGAAGGTGTCAGCCACCTCAATGACGATAAATCCTACGCGTGGGGATTGGTAAACCACCCGACCAAGTCTCACACAATCCTTGATCGCTGGCCCTCTACTAGCTAGGTGCGGTCGAGAATCGTTCCAGAGGGTTTCTACATCCCTAGTTCCATCAACCGAGCTAGCTGCAAGCTCAACATTCGAAGATATCACGTATAGCTTTCCTGCTATGTCGATAGCACAGCTTGCAACGCATAAATTTATTTCTGCGATGGGACTAATTGGCTTGCCCATCGTCAAACAAATTCGGCGAGGGAAGCATACACGCTCCTGTACACCGACATCTCGTTCTTCGTCCGTGATGACAATCCAAGCAGATACGACTGGGAAATCATTTTCGTCGACATAGACGTTATGAAGCTCTGGGTGTGGTTTGCAGCTCTCCGCCATAATGTTTTCGTGAAAACCCGGAACCTTTTGGAGGGCGTTCGGGATACCTGGCGGTCTAGCGAATGGGGAAGGGTGATTTAGAAAATGCTATAATGAGAGGGTGAGTCTGAAGGATGCAACGCCGCTGAATTTATATAATTGGGTATTGTCGGTATGGTGGAATACGGTTGTTTGCACACTTGGGCCGGAACCACCCGGTCAGATTTACATGTTTCCCTTACTTTGTGTTACACGCCCACCATTAGGATCACCACCGACCTCCCGTATATGGTAGAGGTTATCATACTATCTCTTAGCGTTAGGCCCCTTGTGCAACAGCAAGTATGCATCTGGCCCCTATACCTAGGTTCTAACGCCTCGGCTACTCATTTTCACGAGACAACGAGCTACAAAACTTTGGCACGTTGTAGCACCCTCAAATTACTCATGGCATACTCCTCAAGCGGTGTGGTAGTTAGAAGAAATCGAACAGTTCAAGTTTTGCCATAGATACCTCCGGAGTTACTACAGTCAACCGAAAATTGTCGTGGTCGGCTCTTTATTTAAGTCTATATGTAATCACGATCCAAACTACGATACCATAGGTACGTACCTCTTGAGAGAATTTTATTATCCAGCCAATTCGTTGCAGGAAATTTATTCGGCAGTAGCTCACCGACTATAAAATTAGTCAGGACCTTTTTTTTTTTCTTTTTTTTTTTTGCCAACACACTGTTGGCACCTAGTCGAACACGTGTCTTCAGGTACAACAACCCGATGGGATCCATAACGGTAGTAGGGCAAGGGAGAAAGACCATGCATAGGCGAATATGCCCGGTCAGCCTAGCTAGGGTGCTTCGTATGCAACGAGAATATCATTAGCAAATCTGTAGTTGAATCATAAAGCTAAATTAATTAGATTAAATAACCACGCCCGAAGTAAGGGATCGTAGTAGAACTGGACTAGCAATAACGAAGTTAACCCTACGAATGCAGGCAAGATGGTTTGCTGACAACCGCCGAAATACGGCTGGTTTGAGGCTAAGGTTAGCTGTAGATGATTGGACGTAAGCAAAGCGTCAAAGTAAAGTTACCGAATGCATTGTTAAGTGTCATGTTAATAAACGTAGGTGGCGTTGAGAAGTATGCAAGGCGTTACTTGTCCCCTACCCTAATGAAGGCACTGAATATAAAAATAAAAATAACTATTATTCTGAAATATAGCAACTTCCCCATAAAATTTTCGCTTCTCTTGTTAACTTCAGTTCGCGAATGACTATTGTGCTATAGCTATTATAGTATTCATATTGTAAACACAGTTTTCTTTGTGCAGCTGGCAGCATCGTGTCAATATGTGAGCCCAGGTATAGTTAAATACCTTATGACTATTAAGTTACTATTATCTCCCTTACCCCGAATTAAAATCTGGCCATCACTTCGGGTGATTTTCTGCACTCAGAGGGGCCAAGCTACTCTCCCAAGTCAACTTAACATTGAGTACATGCATTTCCCAGACCTCTGCCCCCCAGCTTCCGTCAATTGGTAGTTTTAATAGTAGTCTTTCTTAACATGCAGGGAAGGTGGGAAGTTACAAAAGGGAAATGAGGATTGCTAGGACCTTCATCATTCAAGGTAGGCGCCTAGTGCGGTTCTTGTCTTCTAAGGCTCTAAAAACATGTTACATTGTCAAATCGAACGCTTTGTTCATATCTTCTATTTAGATTATATCCAGTTATGAGCTTTATTAGATAGCTCAAAGGTATTTATTAATGTACATATATGTTAGCTAAAGAATGTTCCTCATTAGTAGTATCATTCATTGTGCTTTTAACCTCTGTAACTCTAGTTTATTAACTTGAACTTGCGATCCAAGAGAGCATATACACTTACTGCTAGATAATTCAATACTTGATATGACATCAAAATAGTCATGTGCTCGTTTTCGACACATATAGCTCAAGAAGCATATCAGGACTGCCAGTATGGGGTAGAGTATGACACTTGTTGATGCACGAGGTTTCTGGAATACCCTCGTGACTATGCTACTGCTATATACAAGGACTCTCTTCGTCCCATAGGGATCGTGGCAGTTGATTGTGACAAAGCATCTATTGTGAATAAATTTCGCTGGCGGTGACTGGTAGATGTAGTAATTTGTCAGTCAAATATTGAAGTGAGCCACCCGGTCCACAGACGAAAAGGGACTACCTAGATGGTCACGCATGTTGAGATAGGCCAATCCCTGCACTTCCACATAACATAGCTTCAGTATCTCAAGGGGAATCAATTGACTGTAATGCGATGAAGTAAATGAAAACAGTAAGTTTTTCAATCGTATGTTGGCCGCCTGCGTTGCCAATCCTCGTATTTCTGGTGCTGTTCGGGGGGATAAAGTCGTATATACTACTCTTTTCTCCATTCAATTATTCTCATTGCATGCATCTACATGGTTTCGCTTCAATATACAGAACTTTAGATCGGGCACAAATGTGCGGATTTGTTGGTGAGATTTGTTAGTGAATATGTACAATCTGTATACCGATTTTCTTCACACTTTGTTTCCCAAGTTTCAGCATGTTTCAACGACTCGGAAAACCATCGTCTAAATAGATAGCCCGCTTGGCTAAGTGGTATAGCGTGTCACTAGTACTATGAGGCAACTCATCCAGCTAGATGCCATGACAAGATCAGCGGTTCGATTCCGCTAGTGGGCATGTTTGCTTTCGAATCCGAATTGGTGTAGTGGCTAACATTTGACGCTCTCAAAAACATCGCCATTTGTTATGGTGTTGTATTGAAAGGTGCCGTCAAGCCCGGGGTTCGATTCTCCGATTCGGAGTAGATAGAGATCTTTACAAGAATCTTTTTTCCTAGGTTCTCAAGTTTACTCTCAAATTGGCGGTTGCCCCAGTGGTCAAGCCGTAGATACGTAAGTAGCGAAAAGAGAGCCACACGACGCTTAATTAACCTTTTTTAGGAGACATCCACAAACCTCTCCTACATATGCAGTACGCTACTTTATGTAACTCGACGAATTTAGTTGCCAACAGGTCCAAAAGTGCCAACTCCCACACCGCCTCTATAATGAATTAGCAATCTCTTTCATCATTAGCAGCAAAGGTGAAATTTATATTTTCGTACTGTCACAGTTAAAAAGAATAAAGATAGAGTGAGGTTGAGGTTAGCTAGGCTTGGCAGAGTAGGCCTTGTACGATGTTGGCTTCAGCTGCATATGTTGTAGTAACGATGTAGGAGAGTTGACGGCAAGTCTGTAAAATGATGCCTCCCACAATCTAGTATTGACCGCACTTTATAAATTTTGAATATCATAAAGCCCTTCGCGGGATTGGCCTTTTTGTCCGCTATAATTAACGCGGCTACTCTCTGCTCGTGATTTAAAGGCGTAACATGCTAACTGCTGCTCGGGCTAGGGTGACCAAGGCTCTAGGTCCTTGTTGGTGACTTGGAATCATGAGAATTGATGTCCTCCATGCCTGTTGGTTACCCTCTTCTGCGTTGGTCACCTGAGATGAGTCCTAGTCAAGGTGCCATACTGTCATGATCCTAGTATAGGGGGAGAGGGGTGATAAACATTCGTTGCTACGCGAGAGTCTAGTTTATCACCAACCGATACATACGCTGATGTACAAAACACCTTCTTTATGCCATCTTGGAAGGTGTTCGCATACTCATGGACAGAAATATTAAACAAGTAAAACCTCTGAATATAAAAGTGCTAATGATTTTGCCCATTTTGGAGCCCCTAGAGCTGTTTTTATCCTTATTTTTAATCCATTAAGCCTTAACTTATCAAGCATCAATCCATCTAATATTTTTCCATATCCTCGCAACTCATCAGCCATGGCCACTTTTACAAAGGAATTTCCCGTCAACAGCTGCTGTTGTTCTTGCCCTGCTCATGAATGCGGCAAAGATGGATGCGATGCTGAATGCTACTATTGTAGAATGTAATTATGTAAGTACATAAGACAACTGCACTATTACAGGCCAGGCGGTCAAGGGCCACCTGCTAGATTTCACTGTATCGATTTAACCACGTATGCCTGTTATACTTACTTGCATGCTTGCATTTTCTGCCTTTTTTTTTTTTTTTCTGTAAAAAAAATTTCTAGTTTTATGCCCTTGTTTTTAGGGACTGCAGACTATAGACTGGCGCGCGGGCTGGTTACCTACCAACCAGTCTGGTGGCTATACTAGTAGCTATACATACTAGTGGCCCCCCTGGACTGCAATTGACTGCCTCGCGTGGCAGGGGGTCTAATTGACTAGCCACTTGGCTAGCTGGCCACATCTATGGACTGCGCGCCACATCCATAGACCGGGGTCATATTGACGCTAACCCAAAGAGGATAAATTCCTTCCTAATTGGGACCCTATGGTCTAGCGAAGACACAATAATTAGTTTTTACTGGTCGTAGTAGAAACAAGGGCATTGTCTCTCAAACTAGCACCTCTTTTTGGAAGTGCCATCCTGGAAAGTGCTAGCTACTATGCCGCTCCAATAGACAAGATCGTGTGAGTGACCAACGTATGGCGTTAGGCGATGGGCGTTGTGCTAATTGTGAGTTGCTGGTGGTAGTGCTGACTCTTGAGATACTGACAAGTGTTTGCGAAGTGTTGTTGATATGTCCTAGGAGGGAGTGGAAATTCTGGGGACATTCTTTCGTTCTCAGTCAGGTCATCGAACTTGTGACTTGGCTTCTAAATAAGCTGGAAAATACAATGTGCTTAGGCATTGTAGATAATAACAGACAGCTTTATTAAATATTACTTCTTTGTCTTATGGGGAGCTTGATGTGCTAAAAAGCTTCTATATTGAACCAAGACGCTTTCGGTGATAAATCTTTGCTTGCATCCCTTATAATGCATTCTTCAAAATAGCTTTAGCCATTTGTTAAGTACGTCTACTCGCACCTTTCTCATTCTCGTTATTTTTTTGGCTTATGTGAGTGTCACTGAGCTGCGTAGTTATTGCGGCTGCCTTGTCACCAACATCGCCTTGCAGAACGACCGGTCTATGGTCACGACTCTTTCCGCTTTTGACACAGGCAAGCGCTACAACGGCAGCTCTATTTGTGCTGATCTACACGGTATAGCAACAGTCACAGTTACTGAACAATCCTTTTTAAAAAGACTAGATGATTGCTGGCAGCAACGCGGAATATGGCATCTATCCCCATGTACCGCCACCTCCACCCCCTCTACCACCCCTACGCTGCGTCGAGAGCCGCCAGTCATCCTCGCTAGCATACTTGTTGTGCAATGGTTGTATACGCTCTTGCTGCCGTCGCTTCGACATTTTGCCGCTCATCCCTGCAACTTCAAAGAAGGTTGGGGCTGCCTCTACGAGCCATTTTGGCTCTATACTTGTTGTCCAGCGCATATATTCGCGCGTTGTGGATACGAGTTCATGATAGACCACCCACTCAGCCTGTTTCCCAAAAAGTGCTGATGATGGATGGATGTAGACTGGGGTTTTCTCGATGAGGGTTTTATAGCCTCCGGACCCAGCATTGGTATCTCTCCGTGCAGAGTTACGGAAAAAGCCTGCACATAGGGCTTGGCGTACGTGTTCCGTTTTACGCCCACAAGAGACAATTGGGAAACGGTAGCGCTCCAGAATGTTGGTAATCTGCTCTCGTACCTCCTTTGCCCTCTTCATTGATCGCGCCTGGATGAAGTTTTCGAAGCACCAAGGAATCGAATAATCATGGTCTTTCCACGAGTTATATACGTTTAATAACGTTAAGTGGTCACCGTGAGGGTCATGGAACTTGGCCTTTTTTTGATCCGCTTGGGCTTGTTTTTCTTTTGGTCGGTAGAAAACGTTGGCCAAGTTCAACATTGCTACAATAGATAGCATCTCGTCTGAACAGCCCATTTCTGCTGATATAATTAACACTTTAGCTAGAGACGGCTCCATAGGAAAGTCAGCCATTTTGCGGCCAAGACGCGTGAGAAGTCCCTCGTCATCAAGAGCGCTTAATGTATAAAGCTCTTCAAGAGTTGTTAACATTGAATTAATAGGTGGAGGATCCATAAAGTCAAAATGCAAAAGGTCATTAATACCCATTGCCTTAAGCATAAGGATTGTTGTTGATACGTTCTGACGTTGTATAGCAGGGACCGTTGATGGTATCATCTCCGATTGAAAGGCTGCTTCTGTATATAGTCTAAAGCATTTACCTGGTCCGGTTCTGCCAGCACGACCTGATCGTTGGTTGGCTTGGGCTTGTGAGATTGGCGTAACGACAAGTGAGTCCATACCCAGTTTCGGGTCGTATACTTTTTGTTTCACAAAGCCTGGGCCGATTACATAATAGATGCCGTCAATAGTAAGGGACGTTTCGGCGATATTGGTAGCAAGAACAACCTTTCGGCTTCCGGGGGGAGCGGGTTCAAAAATGCGACTCTGCATCTCGCTGGGCAGTGCTGAATAAATTGGAAGGATTATTAGCTCGGGGACATCTGATCCTAATGCCTTCATCTGTTCATAGAGAACCTCACAAGCGGTATCAATCTCGTCTTGTCCTGTTAAAAATAATAGGATATCCCCGGTAGGTTCTGTGAGATGAATCTGCATGATTGTAACCAGTGCTGCATCAAGGTAATCTGATTCAGGTTCTCGGGCATAAAGGATTTCAACAGGAAAAGTGCGACCAGGGATCGTGAATATTGGAGCGTCGTTGAAATAAGATGAGAACTTCTCGGCATTGAGTGTAGCAGAAGTAACGATTACTTTGAATTCAGGCCGCTTTTTCAATGTTTTTTTAGCAACGCAAAGAGGACGTCAGTGGGGATCGTTCGCTCGTGTGCTTCATCAAGCATAACAACAGAATAGCTCTTAAGGTCTGGGTCGAGCAAAATTTCCCGTTGGAGGACGCCGTCTGTCATATACTTGATCCTAGTGGCCTTACTAGTAAAATCCTCAAATCGAATAGAATAGCCTACTTCCTCTCCTAAATTGCACCCGACTTCATCAGCTACACGTTTCGCCACTGATATAGCTGCGACTCGGCGAGGCTGCGTGCACCCAATGATGCCAGGGTTAGCGAATCCGGCCTCGTCGAGATATTGAGTTAACTGCGTTGTTTTGCCTGAGCCTGTTTCGCCAACTACGATGAGAGTCTGATGCTTTTGCACAGCATCAATTAAGGCGTCTCGGAAGGCAAATACTGGAAGGGATTCTCGCTGTTGCTTGATTGTCATATTTGTTCTTCTCCCATATGACTGATCTTTCGGCTGGACAGCACGCTTCCATTCCGGGAGGTCGGCGGACTGTGTGGTATTGTCTGCCTTGGCAACGTTCTGGAGGTCGCTTGCGAATCTTCTTCCCTCGAAATTCGTCATTGGGTCGTTCCACTCGGCGGAAAGCGCCTCCCTTTCCTTCTGGTCAGTAGCAGTTTCAGCATCGGCCTCTTGTTGTCGTAGTTCCTTTCTCTCCTTTACTAGCACGGTACCAGCCATGGCAGCCCGGTTCAATGACCCATCGGGTGCCTTTACAACTCGAATAGGTGACAGTGCAAGAGATTGTGCGATCTGGCCAGCAAGGAACGGCGGCTCCCCATTCCTGACCTCAACATCAAAGTCCTCCTCCAACTCGTTCTGCCCGTTTTCTCCCGTAGTGTGATCATCGTCGAGGTCGGGGAAATCTGACGCTTTTGCAGCACCAGAGGCAATGAGTTGGCGAATTTCCCACTTCTCTGGGGAGGTCATTCTCTTCCTTTTGCGGTCTGGGGGGTAAGGGTTTTGGAATTTATGACTGCTGTGGTCATTCTTGCCTCTACCTAGTGGCTGCATGTTGGCGCCAGAACTGAG